GGAATGCCCCCCACTCTCTGCTGCCGTACCAGGCTCACGGTTTTCAACGCCCCGTGGTGCAGGCAAACTGGGCAAGAAGCGGGCACTGTCCATCTCGCCCTTGTCGGACTCTAGCATTGACCTGCAGACGGTAATCCGCACCTCACCCAACTCCCTCGTTGCATTCATCAACTCCCGCTGCGCCTCTGCCGGTGGCTCCTATGGCCACCTCTCCATCAGCACCATCAGGTGGGCACCAGACGTCAGCCCCGCTGGCGTGCATGCAGCCTGTCAGTCTGGGAGCTTGAATGCCGATTCCCAACTCGGGGAGTGCCTGGGTGAGGGCTGGGGAAAGTGGGAGCAGAATGGGACAGTGGGTTAGGGGAGAGGTGGCTGGGAGTTCAGACACCTGGGATCACTGGCTTAGAAGACTTAAATTTCTGTTCTCTAATGGTGTCATCTGCTCGTCCCTCTTGCTCTTTGCAGTCCATCACTGGGGTACCAGAGTCCACCAGGTCAGCAGACGGGGCAAGGCCACCTGTACAGCCACACCGCCCCACCACCCCCATGTAGCTCCCGCGAACACCTGTCCACTCACCCAGGGCTCCTGCACCATGCCCCAGCTCGTGGGACCGTCAAACACCGCCAGGTAAGGGGGCCTTGCATCCACAGAAGTGGTGCTGCATCCCATATAAGCACTGGTCCAGTGGGCATCTCAGTGCTGACTGCTTTCCACTTTCCCCCTGCCCCGGTAGCAGCTAAAGTTGGAGTGGAGCCTGAGCAGACCTCTGACTGTCAAATACCCAGAGGAGAGATCAGAGGGCGACATCTCCAGTCCAGCTTCCACAGGCACCCAGGTAGTCCCCAGGCCTTGAGACCCCCCAACTTCCTCAGAGCTCTGCGCTCCTCCCTGGCACCACTACCAGTAATGGGGAGCGTGAAAGGTCATAGCTGGGAGTGCTCATCTGGCTGTGTTCCCCCAGGACCCCTTGCTGGGGATGCTTGATGTTCGGGAAGATCTGGAGAAGGAGGATGGGAAACCTGAGTCTGAGAATGTGTATGAAACCAATTGCTACTGGGACGGCTGTGCCAAGGAGTTTGATACCCAGGAGCAGCTGGTGCATGTGAGTTAGGTCCTGCCTGGGCACACCCAGTGTCAGAACCTGTCTTCAGGCTACTGGCTGACAGCCCCCTGTGTCAACCCACAACTCCTACTCTCAGACTGTCCTATACTGGGCCGCTTCCCTCCCCTCCCGCCCGAAGAACTCACCACATGGGTGCACAGTGTTGGAAGTTACCCCTAGGAAGGGAGGGACATGCATCCTCCACTTCTTGTGGGCAAGTTCTTCATGACCCTCCCATACCATGTGCCTAGGAGGAACACCCATGCTGGCTTTCCTCACCCCTGGAGCAGCTTTCCTGAACCTTTGGTGCATCCAGACTTCCTCCTTTGCTCTTTGTCTCCGTTCAGACACTCCAAACTCTCCTATATCCCCTTGACCACCCCTCAGACCACCTTGACCCCTATGTCTTCTTTTGGTCCTCTCAAAGTAGCCCCCAGCCATCTCCTGTATCCCCTGCCTCCTCCAGACACATTCTTGACCACTCTGTTTTCCCCTAATCCCTGGTGTCTCCACCCACCGTGCCAGTCCCTCTAGGTTAGTTTCTCCCATGACACTCTCTTACGACACCTGTATCTCCCTGACCCTTGGCACCCTCCCCAATGCCACCAGTGATGCCCCTCTCTCCTCAGCACATCAACAACGAGCATATCCATGGGGAGAAGAAGGAGTTTGTGTGCCACTGGGCAGCGTGTTCCCGGGAGCAGAGGCCCTTCAAGGCTCAATACATGTTGGTGGTGCACATGCGACGTCACACAGGCGAGAAGCCCCACAAATGCACGGTGAGCTGGCACGAGCCTTTGCAAAGCCTCAGCTGAGCTGTGGTGCTTTGCACCAGGCAGAGCTCGCAGGGTGTGAGCTGGTCCATCTGGTCTACGGCATTGAGGGGGACGTGTGGTGGGAAGAAGGAGGTGGGACAGCCAGGGTGGTCAGGAGCATGGTAGTGCATGGTATAGTGGGGCTCATGGTTGATGTGTGACAGAGCCCGTGTGATGGGTGGCGTGAAAGAGATGCACATGGGGTAAAGAGGTGTGTAGCAGGCTGGGTATGGCACGGCCACGTGGCCAGGGCGTAGTGAGGTGGCGTGACATAGGCCAGAAGGGTAAAGGGCTGTGCAGTGTTGTGAGGACACTCTGAAGGAGGGCAGGTGTGTTGTGCATCGGTTGGGAGGCGTGATACGTGTCCATGGCAGATGTGCCACGGGTACGTAGCGGGGAGGGTGATCTGGTACAGGTTCTGTGGAAGGTGTGTGGCATGTTTCACCCTTCTTGCCTGCGCAGTTTGAGGGCTGTAACAAAGCCTACTCACGCCTGGAGAACCTCAAGACGCATCTGCGCTCACACACGGGTGAAAAACCGTATGTGTGTGAGCATGAGGGTTGCAACAAGGCCTTCTCCAATGCTTCTGACCGGGCCAAACATCAAAACCGCACTCACTCCAATGAGGTACAGACCCATCTGGGGCTCTTTGCACCCCTTTGGGCTCCCCATATACCTCCTGATTAGTCCTCTACTCTGTAAACTCCCTGCATCGCTGTTTTTTTTTTTTTTTCCTGTGTGCCCCAACTCCCTCCTTACCTGCTCTAATAAATTATGGGCCCTGCTCCCTTCCTCAGTCACCTGCATTCCCACCAGGGTCCCCTTTCCCCTGGCATTCTTTCTCTGGCTCTCTATGACCTCCTTCAAGGCCCTGCCGTAGCACCTACACACCCCCTTCCAAGGGGCCTCAGCCTCTTTCATCCCTTCCTTCCCTCAGTTCATGGGCTGACTCAAGAGGGAGAGGAGGGGGCTTGATTTCATGCCCAGGTAGTACTTTGCTGGGAGGGGTCTCTGGCTGGAGCTAGCCCCCTCCCTTCACTGTGCCTGCCTTTGTTTCCCTGACAGAAGCCCTACGTGTGCAAGATTCCAGGCTGCACCAAGCGCTACACAGACCCCAGTTCCCTGCGCAAACACGTGAAGACGGTGCATGGCCCTGACGCCCACGTCACCAAGAAGCACCGAGGCGATGTGGTGCCAGGCCGTGCACTGCCCACGCCCAGCGGCCCTGCAGACCTGAAGCAGGAGAAAGACACAAATGGCCCCACTGAGGCACGGAAGGATGACAGCAAACTCTTGGTGCCTGACTTGGCCTTGGTAAGGAGCTGCGGGTGTGATGATGGAGGGCGGCCTGGCCAGGCATGCTGGAGGAGGCAGTTTGCATGGGAGGGGAGTCAGCTCTGCATCTGGCAGGATGCGGGCTCGCAGGTTGCATCAAGCGTGTAGTGGATATCTGACCCCCTTTTCCTTGGTTAATGTTTTGGGTACCCCCTAGAAGCCGCAGCCCAGCCCAGGTGGGCAGTCATCGTGCAGCAGCGACCACTCCCCACTTGGCAGCACCACCAACAATGACAGTGGGGTGGAGATGGCAGGCAACGCAGGCGGGAGCTACGAGGATCTGTCCACACTGGAGGATGTGGTGCCCTGTGAGCCCATGGGTGCCTCAGGGCTCATGGCCCTCCACAAGCTAGAAAATCTTCGCATTGACAAACTGAAGCAGATGAGGAAGCCATCAGCTACCAAAGGCCTGAATTTGCCAGCCATCCCTGGAGCCGGTGAGACTGTGGTTCCCTGCCACCTGGATGTGGGGCCAGTCCCATGGGCACTGTGTCAAGAGAGATCTGGTTTGCAGCCAGAGAGGTTTGCCCACCTTCCTTTCACTAGTGATGGACCCCCACATCTGGGTTGTGCCCCATCCTTGGACTCAATGATCTTAAAAGTCTTTTCCAACCTATATGACTTTCTGCCCCCTCTTTGTTGCTACAACTTCTTCCTGTCATAGCAGACACTAACCATGGAAGAGGCCACATCCTGGTGCTGAAGGTGGCTGCCTGTTCCTCCTCTGACCGTTGGTGCCATACTCTGACCTGAGTGTCACAGGGTAACTCCTCCTTTTCTTTCCTCAGGCCTGCCCGGGGAGGTGTCTGGGATGTCCCTGCCGCCACCAGCTGCCTCGCACCGACGAATTGTGGAGCTGTCGGCAGCAGAGATGGGCATGCCCCTGAACGAGCGCCGGAGCAGCGCCACCAGTACCGTAAGCTCAGCCTACACCGTGAGCCGGCGCTCATCCCTGGTTTCCCCGTACCTGGCCGGGCCGTGTCTGGGTGGCGAGGCAGGGGCAAAGCCCAGCGGGGCAAGCCTGGCAGATGGCTACGACCCCATCTCTCCGGATGAGTCGCGACGCTCCAGTGATGCCAGCCAGTGTGGAGGGCTTCCGGGTGTGGGCAGCCTTACCCCGGCCCAGCACTACCGTCTCAAGGCTAAATATGCTGCAGCCACAGGTGGCCCACCCCCAACCCCTCTGCCCAGCATGGAGCAGGTGGGCATGGGTGGCCACAGCAGCTTACCCAGGGACTACTTTGGGCCAGCGGAATCCCGCTTCCTTGTAAATGGTTTGCTGCGAAGGCACAGTTCCAACGACTGCCCTGGCTATGCAGGCAGTGTTCCCCCTCGCCTGGTCCCTCGGAATGGCGTGCGGCGGGCCAGTGACCCTGCTCGGACTGCGGCCAACCTTCATGCTGTGCCCAAGGTGCATCGTTTTAAGAGCACAGGTAGTGTGAATGTGCCAGGAGTGGGCAGAACTGCTCCGCAGTCCTTGGGTGGTTCTGATGCCAACCTTCAGCGCCATGTCTTCTCACCACACCCACCCAGCATCAGTGAAAATGTCTTCTTGGAGAGTGTGAGCATGGAGGGCACTGGCCCAGGCACAGAGTCTGGCTTGCTAGAGATGGAGCAGTACTTGAACTACCCCGAGGAGAGCTTCCCATGCCAGGGGACAGGTGTGGACCTTCAGTGTGAAGGCCTCTACGGCAGCGCTCACCGGACCACGGAGGGTATGCAACTGAACCCAGGAGGGCATGCGGACATGGAGGAGGGGTTGCTTCAGTCTGAGTTCTCCCTCCCTCAGTGCCAGACAAACCAGCACTTAACGAGTATGCATGCTGCCAGTGGGACCATGCCAGCTCCTTGGGGTGAACCTCCCCAAGGTAACCTGGAGATGAGTTCTGGGCAGTGGAGTGTCAGTGCCTCTGCTGCTGCCACGTCTGGTCCACGCTGTCACCAGCAAAGTGCTGAGTACCCACTACCCAGTCCCTGTGGGCAACAGCCTAGACTTGTGAGCTCGTGCCAGGACAGTGGATTTTCTGGGGCACACCAGCTTAACCGACTACAGATTAAATCTGAGCAGCGTTACCCAGCACCTGTCCGAGCACTTGCTCCTTGCCAGAACGCCAAGCTTGCTGGGCCCATGCAGCCTCCTGCATCATTTGGCCAAGCCATGGATGTAGGGCCTGCTGGTTACCCACCCGAGGGACAGACACCTGTCGGTTACATCTTGAGCCCGGGCGCTAGAAGAGCACAGACCCCCACCATGCAGACCAAAGAAGTGATGGTCCGTAGCTATGTGCAGGCCCAGCAGGCCCTGATGTGGGGAGACCTGCTGGCCTCCAAGGGAGGGGAGGCTGGCGTGGGGCTGGGCAGGGAGGCTGGCCAGGGCCGAGCCACGCAAGTTCCCCTGTACCGCAGCCCCAAGTACTCTGGTTACCAAGCCAAACTGGATCACCTGCAGGGTCTGACAGAGACTCGTCAAGTGCTAAACGCCCCGTGCTTCAACCCGGAGATGGTGCCACATCCACCCGGTGGCCCTAAACCACCGGGTCACCAAAACAGTCCGAACTACGCGGGCAGCCTAGCTCAGCCCAGTCATTCCTGTGAGGGAGTGGAAGCTGGTTCCCGGCGTGTACTTCGCTTGCCCCCTGCCTGCCCCACACCTGAGGGGCCCAGTAATGCCCTGCTCTGTTACCCAGGCCAGGGCACACATGTGCAGGGGGACAAAGGCGGGCATAAGCTGTTGGGCCAGATGGCAGCAAGCTCTGGGGGTCCTGGGCATTATGGTGGGACCTTGGAAGGACTCAAAGGCAGCTCATGTTACTACCTGGATTCGGGGGAGCAGGTGGCCAACAGCCTGGACTCTCTGGACCTGGAGAATATGCACCTCGACTTTGCTGCCATTGTGGAAGATCCAGAGACACCTGCAGTGCTGCCTGGGCCCCCAAGCCCTGCGGGTGGCCTCCTGCTTCCTGCATCTGGTGGTGCCAACATGGCTGTGGGTGACATGAGCTCCATGCTGAGCACTCTGGCAGGGGAGAGCCATTTCCTCAGCTCCCTGTCCTAACTAGGAGGTACCAGCTGTCAGGTGGGCATGTCTGCAAGCAGGGAGAGCCCGAACCACGTGTGGGCAGAGGTGTGAAATCCCCTCTCACCCCCAGATTTATGCCTGGGGCAGGGCAGGGGGTGGGGGAGAAGGGGAGAGAAACACTCCTGGAGCCTCTCTTTCTCCAGTCTGTGAGTGTCGGGCTCTTTCAAGGGGAGGGCGTTGCTGCGTCCCAGACACGACGCAGCCGCAGCCCTGATCAGGTGCTTCAGGTCGCCTCGTGTCGGGGGAACTGGTTTTACTGAGCCCTTCCATTCCAGCGCCTGGAACCTTTCCTGCCTTCCCCAGCCTTTTGGACAAGGTGGCCCTGCACAGACTCAATGTCGAAACCAAAGAGTTCCACCCTCCCTAACCCTGTGGACAGGCCCCATCCCAATGGTGCTGCTGCCTTCTCCCCCCAGCCCCTCCCCGTCTTTGTCAGGACTGCAGTCACTCCTTGCTTGGCAAGCCTACTCACCCTGTCCTCCCCATCTTGCTCAAGGAGGGAGGAAGAGGAGGCAGTTCACCACAGGGATGGTGGTGGGGAGCTTGGGGTGCCTGGCACTGCCTGTGTTGCCCTGTACATAGTGTGCATATGTGTACGTCCCTCCTGTGGGTGTTAGCCCAGCTTTTCTTCTGTTTGAAAGAAACAGCAGTGCCTCCTCTCCCCATTAAACCCTTTCTCAGGGGAGTGTGAGCTGTGTATTTTTTTATCCATGCAGATGGGCTTTAAGCTGGACCCTGGTGCCAGGTGCTATGCAGCCCTGCCCCCAGCCCCTTTCCTCTTTCCCCCATCTAGGACCAAGACCCACTTGTGCCCAGCCCTGCAGAAGCACGCTGCCCTTTTGGACTGGGGATCCAGCCATAGCCAAGCACACGCTTATTGCCATTGCAGGGGTGGGGGGAGGAAAGGGCAGTGCTGCCTCCATGGTGCAGACCTGGCAGCACTGAACAAAAGCATCACCAGAAGCACGGCGAAACCTGTGTACGCTTGGAGGCATAGTCTCAGGGTATAGCTCAGTGCCTCTGTGTGTATCCAAGGCTTTTCTGTCAGACCATCTTGGCATCTCTGAGGGCTACTCTGGCCTCTTCCTTAGGCACTGGGGTGCCACCTGTGCACCTCTAAGGCTGCTGTAGGTGCTGGGGACGCTGTAGGGTCTCTGGGACCGGCTAGGTGTGTTTGGGGATGCTCTGGGGCTTTTTCTGGGGTCTGTCAGTGGCTGCCTGATGTCTCTGAGCTGCCAGGTGTTCTCCAGTATTTTTTCTGAGGGCTGTCTTGCTGCTTCTGCAAGCTATTGGGGCTTCCCAAGGCAGCGCTGGGCATTTCAAACCTACCAGCTGGATGGTTTAGGCCATCCTGGTGTCTCTGGGGATTCTCCAGGGCTCTTTCCAGGCTGTTAGTATATGTTTGGGGCTGTTCTCTGGGTTTCTAGAGTGGATGACTTTATGCTGCTTGAGCTGCTCCGGATATGCTGGGGCATTCTGAGTTATTCCAAGGGTCCTGCAGATTCTGTGGATTTTTGCAGAACCTCCAAGTCATGCTCAAGAGCATCTTTCCTGTTACGTGGGCCTGTTCTTAGACTGACTGGGGTTCTTTCAGGGTCTGAAGGTATCCTGCCAGAGTCTCGGGGTTTTTCTGGGACTTTCCACGTGCTGCAGGGGTCTCTGTGGCTGGGGTGGGTCCCCAGGTGTTGCTGGGTCCAGGCCTTTCCCCACCTCACGGCCTTCGTTAGGGCCCCGAGGCCTGTCCTGCCCTGTCCTGCAGGGCTGCACCTCAGACCCCTGGGGAGCGGTCAGGGTCTGCAGGGCTTGCTCCCGCTTCTCTGTGGCCCTGGGGGGGTCTGTTTTCCAGGCGGTTGTGAGGGTGCCTGCCCTCCTTCCCGGACCCGCGGTGGGAGCCGGCGTTTTCATGGCGACGGCTTGGCGCAGCCGGTCACTGAGCAGCAATTGTGGAACTCACGGAACTCATAGATTTCACAAAACTCGAGGAAAACTTGCCGAACTCACAGATAAGTTTTGGTGCCCTGGCCATCCCCTGTTTATATACTGACCATGACGTCTATGATACAGAATATTTCCACTGGCCAGCCTGAGTTAGCTGGTTGGCTGTGCTCCCTCTCAGCTCTTGGACACCTGCTCATTAGCCAAACATGAGAAACTGAAAAAAGTCCTTGATTTCACAGCAACAACTAAAAACATCAGTGTATTATCAACATTCTTCTCATACTAAATCTGAAACACAGCAGCTACTGGGAAGAAAATGAACACTATCCCAGCCGAAAGCAGGACAGCCTGGTTGACCGAGTCGCTTGGGAGGCAGTCTTGAAGGGCAAAGGAGTCCAGTAAGGCTGGACATTCTCAAGAAGGAAGTCTTAAAGGTGCGGGAGCAGGCCACCCCATGTGCCGGAAGACAAGCTGGCAGGGAAGAAGACTGGCCTGGTTGAGCAGAGAGCTTTGGCCGGAACTCAAGAAAAAAGAGGAGAGATTATGACCTTTGGAGGAAGGGGAAGGCAACTCAGGAGTACTACAAGGATGTCATGAGGTTATGCAGGGAGGAAATTAGAAGGGCCAAAGCCCAAACAGAACTTAATTTGGCCGCTGCAATTAAAGACAATAAAAAAATGTTTCTATGAATACGTTAGCAACAAGAGGAGGGCTTAGGAGAATCTCCATCCTTTATGGGATGCGGGGGGGAAACATAGTGACAAAGGCTGAGGAAAAAGGCAGAGGTACTTAATGCCTTCTTTGCCTCAGTCTTTGGTAGTGAGACCAATTATGTTGGGGTAACCAGCCCCCTGAGCTGAAAGACAGTGACAGGGAGCAGAATGAAGCCCCTGTAGTCCAAGGGGAAATGGTTAGCGACCTGCTATGCCACTTAAAGACACACAAGTCTATGGAGCCGTATGGGATCCACCCAAGGGTACGGAGGGAGCTGGCAGAGGTGCTCACCAAGCCACTTTCAATCGTTTATCAGCAGTCCTGGCTAACCGGGTAGCTCACAGTTGACTGGAGGTTAGCAAATGTGATGGTCATCTACAAGAAGGGATGGGAGGAGGATCCAGGGAACTACAGGCCTGTCAGCCTGACCTTGATGCTGGGGAAGATTATGGAGCAGATCATCTTGAGTGCCACCGCACATACAGGACAACCAGGCGATGAGGCCCATGTGGCATGGGTTTGTGAAAGGCAGGTCCTGCTTGACTAACCTGATCTCCTTCTATGGCCAGGTGACCCACTTAGTGGATGAGGGAAAGGCTGTGGGTGTTGTCTGCCTAGACTTTAGTAAGGCCTTTGATACTGTTTCCCACAGCATTCTCCTGGAGAAACTGCTCATGCCTTGGATGGGCATACTCTTTGCTGGGTGAAAAACTGGCTGGATGGCCAGGCCGAAAGAGTTGTGGTGAATGGAGATAAATCCAGATGGCCCTTGGTCACGAGTGGAGTTTCCCAAGGCTCAGTATTTGGGCTAGTTCTGTTTTATATCTTTGTCAATGATGTGGATGAGGGGCTTGAGTGCACCCTCAGTATTTTTGTGGATAACACCAAGTTGGGCGGGAGCGTTGATCTGCTTCAGAGCAGAAAGGCTCTGCAGAGGGATCTGGACAGGCTGGATCGATGGGCCAAGGCCAGTTATATGAGGTTAAATAAGACCAAGTGTCAGGCCCTGGACTGACGTGGATGCTTTTTGGTACAGAGGCAGCGAATGCCTGGGCTGCGAGCGGGAAAAGGGCAGAGACACGTAAGCCCCGTGGTCCCGGTTAGTGTCACCGCCTTCAGATGGCGTTGGGCAGGGCGGAGGCAGCGGCTGGTGCTCAGAACGGGATCCTCGAGGTGACCGCAAGCTGGGTGCTCCGGCTCGGGAGCAGCGCGTGCACGATGGGGCCCCCGTGCTCCACGTTGCCGTGCGCCGGTAACGGCAACGCGATGCTGCGGTGCCCGCGGGCTGGTAAGGAAACGCC